TGAATTGAATGTAAATGTGAAAAACGTAATGTTAAACTGATCATTTATTGAAAATATAAATGTTTTAAAAATAAAAACTTGCTTTTCTTTCTTACCCAGCAGCACTGCCTTCTCTTTTTGCCAGTGTCCTTTCTGAAAGGCTGCAATCGCCTGTTCTTTGATCAACTCCCCATCAATGTATGGACCCCATGTCTCAAAAACCTCCAAGAACCTGAAGGGGTTCACAATCTTAGAACCTGGGATGGAGAGAAACATAACATTGAAAATACAGTTTTATCTTTGAAATCGAGGAATTTGGTTAATTTAAACCTTCAGAGATTTTACACTCAGATTACATATTTAGATTCAGATTATGTATTCTCCAGAGTGTTTTTTTATCCCTGATTTTATTGTTATTGCTTCTTTTGGAATATGTCAGGCTAACTTGGTTAAATTTGCAGATTTTAAGTACTGTATCCTGCATTCTTATATAAATGTGTGGGTAGCCATGAATATTGGTCTATATTCAGGGTGTGTGGCACCCTACTTGTTTTCATCTGCGCGGACAGGACAGCCTGTGGAGGGAGAGACAGCAGGCAGACGAAGTCGCTCACTGAGCAGTTGGTCTGTTTTGCGAAGTTTTTTCCCAGCTTCAGGGCATCGTGTCTGGCAGAAAAACAAAATCATAGTTCAGAAGCCACACAGAAGCATATCAGAGACTCCCCTACTAGGCTCGAACACAGCAAGGGCCGAGAAAAGCCCGTAGTTCTCACATTAATTAGTGCTTTTGACAGATGGGCTTTCACTCCAGCGAAACCAAGCTGTCACCTTCTCACCTGGTTTTAAGTGGGATGGAGAACGGCAGGCTCTGCAGGACTGCCTGTTTAAACAGCGGCTTGCTGCTCTGGATCATCAGGTGAAGACTCACCGACTGAGCACCTGCACTCTCCCCAAATAGTGTCACCTGACCCAAAAAAAGAAGCTTTATGTTAACGAAAAAATGTATTGACAATGTAAGCAACTTTGAAACGGTTAGAGTTTTGGAGGGCCAATTTGTTGTTAAAAGCAGAGAAAAAAATAGACAAGTTTTTCTTTGTTCTTTAAAAAAAAACGATATTTTCAGCTTTTTCTATGAACATTTCTGCTTCCTCCCACAGTCCAAAAACATGCATGTTAGGTTAGCTGAGCTTCTCAATTGCCCCTAGTAGTGAATTTGAATGTGTGTGGTTGTTTGTCTCTGTGTAGCCCAGTAATGTACTGGTGACCTGTCCACGGTGCCTCTCGCCCAGTATAAACTGGATTAGATTCCAGCCCCCTGCACTCCTATTAGGAATGAACAGTATGGCCAATAAATTAATATTTTCATCTTTGCTCTTTTTGTGTTTTTAGATATAGAAGTGTTGTGTTGTCTGTTACCATGTAAAGCTTGCATCTGTACGGAGCCCAGAGAAAAGGAAGAATTAAATTCTTTCAAAAAAGGGCAGTACAAGATGACCAAAAAAAGAAAACGTAGAATAAATGTCTTATCTTGAGACATTGGCCTGGGATGTGGATTTGTGTGTGTGTTTGCTTGCTTGCCTTGCCAGGGTCGCCTCCAAACACAGCAATGTTCCTCTGAACCCAAACCAGGGCTGCTTGCTGATCCAAAATTCCATAATTCCCCGCGGCTGAGGTTTGAGGGTCTTTGCCAGACACCAGGAATCCAAATGCGCCTTCAATCAAGCATCAATTCACCATGATCAGCTAAACATAATCAACTGAGGCACAACATCAATTTCCTCTGCCCTCGAGATTCCCAAGTCACATGTCACTCCTCCTGTTTTCAGTCTTGCAGGGAGGCTATTTAATACAACGGCACAGACAAATTATCCATCTTCTTGTCATGCATCCAGACACACACACACACACACATATTCGTGCACTCTCTTAAAAACATTCCAGCTTGATGACATCCCTACCTAAGTCAATTCCACTAATAAAGTCTTCATTCTTACATGTATGGCACTGTTTAGAACATCTCAAACTGATGTTTTAATGTAAAATACACTGATATCGTCCTTATTTTCGTATGCTAATACAAAGCTTATTTCTTCAGAACAGGTACCGGTACATATCTTTAATAAAAGAGAACAAACTTTTCATACCAAGCCGGTATTCCACATTTACAACAATAGTGTGGGTGAAGTTGCTGATGAAACGTCCATCATGCATGGGCTTTGAGGCTGACCCAGCTATGAAATCCCCACCATGGATCCACACCATGACGGGCAGGAGGCTTTGCAGAGGAGAGCTGAAGTTTACGTCTCGAGGGACAAAGATGTTAAGGTAGAGACAGTCCTCACTGACCTGTTGGAGAAATGAGGAGATGCATGTCATTTGAATTTTATTTCACGGCAATCCGACTTTTTGTTGCACACCATATATTACAATTTTGTACTTGACAATGCTGCCTCAGTGTGGTGTTATATGAAAAATGGAAGCTCAGAGCTAGCTCATGTATTGAAATGAATTATATTTAAGGGTTGAAATCTGATGGTTGTTACAAAGAAAAGCGTCTTCTAATGGATGGATTATGTGACCTTAGACATCCCATATTTATGCTGCCATAGGCCTCGAGGTCCCTAAGGGACCCCAAATGATGTACCTTTTGTCATTCTGTTTTTTCTTTTTGCCCCTTTTTCTTCATGTGCATGAGACATTGACATTGTAATTAACTTGTGTTTATCGTTCTTATCAAGTATTCTTAGCCTTTTTGTCCCTCTTTCCTTTCCTCTCAAATCGCTGCTGGTTGAGGCGGATGGCCACCCTTCCTGAGTCTGGTAATCTTGTTACTGGGCAATGTTTTCTTTTGACAGTCCCCTCCTGCATGTTCAAGATGGAGGATTCGGAAAAAGAGAGGAGTTTCCTTTTGTAGGAAGTTCTTTAATCATCTCTGGGTGACTGAATTTTTACTGAATTGAATTGTTTGTTTTGGTTTGTATTTGTATTTTAATTTTAATTACAATAAATTACATTCAAACTTATTTCAAATGAACTGTACAATTGAAGTGTTGAGATTTGACATGTGTTGTTATTTGGAAATACATAAATCCAATTGAGCTTAATTGAAATTATTTCATTTTATTCTGTTCTAAGTCATGAATTATTATGTTTTAGAATTGGGTAGCAAACTTGAAAGTTATTTTGAACATTTCATTCTTATATATATTTTGCATTCATATTTGATTTATTTAGGTAATATCTATTGACTGTCCTAGTCAATATGACAGTTAAAACAATAAAAACATGCATGTGTGAAATAATGATACCACCCAAACTCAGCCATAGTGGTTCTCAAAAACCTTCGAAAATGTGTATTTAAACAGTTACCTGTTATTTGAAAGTCATTTCATTTAAAAGAATCATAAAAATAGAGAATTTCTTTTCATTTAGAAAAGATTTGTGGCAGTATGAAGTATCAAACTGGCTTGTGTTAGAAACACAGAGGGATGATAAAGTGATACTTCTAACAATGTCTATACACTTAACAGCAACGCATAGCATTAAAATGATTTGAGCGGTCGGCTAAAGTAGAAAATAACTGTATAAGTTTAGTCCTTTACCATTACCATTATGTAAAATAGGAAGAAAAAAACAAAGTGTACTTTTCTCGTAAGCTGCAAAAGGAAATAACTTTTTTAATGGGAGAAAAAACAGTTTTTACTGACAAAATGTCAACAGTTGAGATATTCATAAAAAGTCTCTTTATTCTTTGTATGCATCTGCCATGTCATTTTGAAACTAAAGATTGAAGAAACACAGGACGAGTTGGAGTTATCCTTTATGTGCC